CCCAAATTACAGGTCCACAAAGTAGTTTAAGCCCAGGGATTATAAATGAGATTTTACCGTTAAACTACTTACAAAATAATAAGACATTTAGGCATGAAGATTATATAAAAATAATGGTATTTTTTTTGCAAACCATTCAATTGTTGCTTACGAGCAAACATATTTTAGACGCGTGTAGGCAAATCTGACCAATAACGACGTTTTGGTCATGATCACGAACGTTCTATGTAAGATAAAAATTTTCATGTCTCGAGACATGACCCGAAGCTGCATGACGTCGTTCGAATCAGGATTTCAACCGCGCGGGACACCTCCGTGCCAAAGCTCTACTGCTCCGTTGGAGTATGAAAAAAAATGACTTTCTTAATTATACGAGAAAGGAAGCAAAGTAGATAAATTCGGAAGGGAGTAAATAAATGGCGCAAAAATGTTACAAGTTAAAGTTGTTAACTCTTGTAAACAATTGCGTGCGCGATTCAAACTTTTGAAAAGGACTTTCTTTTAACTCTTTTTGATTGAAGTACAACAAAGGCCGGGTTAGAAACTCGATTTTTAAGACGCAAAAGTAAAAACGCACTTTTAAAACAAGACTTAAAATGAGCTTTTGTTGAAAAAGATCCAAAAGTGAGAGATAAGGAAAACGTGGTGTCAAACTTGACTTGTCGATCAAGGTGAATAATATTGACCTTGGTTTGGAAGGGGTGTTATATTACTTGCAACAAGTATTTATAAGCAGCTCAGTAGATTTCGATACAAGACAGCATGGACTAGCGTAGTTAAGAGGAAAAAATGTAATGAAGATGTTAATGCTTCATTCAGCGATTCTACTCTGGACTGACTGCTCAAGGAATAATTCCAAAAGCCTTCCAAATACTTCAATTCTACATTTAGATGAGGGGATTCTTCTAGAAATATTTGATTATTTGGATATTTTAGATTTACTTCGAGCTGGGCAAGTCTGTCAGCAATGGTACAGAATTTCAAGGGACTATTACCTTTGGAAGTCTCTAGATTTAAAAACACTTAGAAAGCCTTTTTCCAAGGACAATTCAATTGAAACTCTATTCCGAAGGTGTCCCGTCTCGAGACTAATCAACCTCGACCTCAGTGGCTTACAGCTAACAGGAAGGATTTTCACGACGTTGGCACAAAATTGTCTTCACTTAAGAAAACTTGTTTTAAATTCAACAAATTTTGTAGCTGAAGAAACTGAAAATGATGAAGAAATTTTTTTATTTCCAGAAAAATTGGAATACTTGGATCTTCGGTTTTCTGAAGGTCCCGCGAGATTCTATTTGACTGTTTCAAGGTATCTTGGCCAAGTGGAATGGTTTGGATTGTGTGACGCGTTCATCTACCCACTATATAAGGACGGGAGCCTGGACACTACTATTATGAACATGCAAAATTTAAAGAGCCTGGACACTAGTCACTGCCTATTGGCTAAAGACAATTTGGTCTCCATGGTAACGTCATGTCGGAAACTAGAGGTACTGAGCATGCGTAAGTGTCTGTGCGTGCGGGGACACACTCTTGGTGAGTTGCTTAGCAACTGTAAGAGTCTCCGAGGTTTGATACTGGATGGGACGAGTGTGGATGATGACGTCATCAGTTCGTTGCCATGGGAACACACCAGAATGGATTATCTTGAACTTGGTTGGTGTCCTCTGGTTAGTACCGAAGGACTTCGAGTGGTTCTGGATAAACTCTCTCGCTTGAAATCATTAGAGTACTTGGGGCTTTGTTCTACTGGTGATGGTAAAGCGATCAGCGACGTCATACTGGAAGACTTGAAAAAGGCTTTATCTAAGGGACTATTTTGTAGCTTGAGGACCCTTAATATCACGTCTTCGAAGAAAGTCACTGAAAAAGGACTTAGGTCCTTTATTGAAGAGTTTTGTCCAAACCTTGAGGTCAAGGTCGGCAAATGCTATGCTCTCGAGGGGTTTTCGATCCAAAGTGACGACCGGACCTGGGAAGATGAAAATAATAATAACGGCCCAGCACACAAGAAGTGGAAATGCAACTTCCGGTCAAAAAGATCTAATAACCAAATGGAACAATATTTCCTCGAGTCTCCGCTGTAATCTGGTGACAAAACTAAAGACTTTGCGTGAGACATTGCGTTACCTCGCGTGACGCATGGTTGACACGATGGGTGACATATCGTAGTGATATGCTCACTAGCTTTGATAGTATAATGAGTCACGGACTTAAACATGCGTGACATATTCAATCGCTTATTCACACGCATAACCGATTTGATTATGTACGATAGGTCACGGGTTGTACCTTGTGTGATACACCCTACCGTACCTATTGTATGATGGGTAACAGATCATACCCTACGTAACACGCACAACCAATTTGATTATATACGTTAGGTCACGGGTTGTACCTTGCGTGACACACACAAACGCACCTATTCTGTGACGGGTAACAGTCCGCACCCTACGTGATGCATATCCTCTGGGGAAGGCAGAGGACATATTCAATTATTTTGGTTGGACGATGGTTTACAGACAGAACCTTGCTTGAAACACCCGACCAAAAATTTGGATGTTAGGTAACGGATCATACGTGACATTTGTCGTACATAATAAATTTATATTTAATAAAGGAATGAATCAGATATCAATTACCTTTGGTGATTGTATTGAAGATTTTAAGCCGTGCTTCTGGCACAGATGCACTTCAATACCGCTTTATCTCCCAAAGTTCCTGGTAAAATCAGTTTTCAAGAAATCATCAATAGAGTCACATACGTTAAGGGGAGGGGAGGGGAGGGGAGGGAAGGGAAGGGAAGGGAAGG